AAGGTCAAGTTGGTTTATTGTATGGTTTAATTCTTCAGTATCTTTGTTGAGTTTCTTTCTGGTAGTTCTATCTTTTCTTGAGAGGGGTGTATTGAAGTCTCCAAGTATTATAGTAGTGTTGTCTATTTCATTTTTTAGTTTTGTTAATGTTTGTTTTATGTAGTTTGCAGGTCTTTCATTTGGTGCATAGATATCTATTATTGTTATGTCGTCTTGTTCTATTGACCCTCTCAGCATTATGTAATGACCTTTCTTTGTGATGTTGGCAGTCAGTCACTCCTCTTGAGTCACAGGGTGGCAGGCGGTTGCTCCCTACTTGCTCCTGGTGGGTGGGTTTCACAGTGGTTTGGCTGGTGTCTTTTGGCTGGGACTCAGCTGTCCTGTGTGTGGTTGAAATTCCAGCTCTCTGGCCGGCGCTGCCTTCCGGCGCTGCACGTGGCCTTCCTTCTGGCTGGTGGCTATACATTTATTTGTTAAAAGGGATAATGGAGCCAAGATTCCCATGTTTCCCTTTATCTATCTTCAGTTATATGTGTAGACAAGTGCTTTTGTATGTTACTTTCCACTCTCTTCCCCTTGAAAAGGTCCATTCCATGTGTCTTGCATCTTTCATTCCTTGGCGTGATTGTTCTTGAAATTCCAAATATCTTTTATGTTTTTCACCCATCTTTGTGGCTTATCTTTTGTTTTCTTCTCTTTGATAGTATAAGAAAGTGCTGTGAAGAATTTAATAGAAAAATATGTTCTTAGAAAAATATGTTCAGCAAAGGGGTAGTGTTGTCATGTACCCTTGAGTCAGAACCAGCTCTTAGGTGACCCTTCAACAGGCTTTCAAACTGGGAATTCCAAGGGAGAGGTTGTCCATCTTCTCCTTTTGAAGCAGCTCGTGGACTCAACCTTTTACATTGCCTTTACATTGGCAGTTTGACACCTTACCACTAGGCCACCAGAAATACCTTTAACAAGTGTAGTGAACTATTGTGTAAAATGCACATTATTTTGCTGTACAATATCTGTGGAGGAAAATACCTATATCTTCATTTTAGAATCAGCTTCTTTAATTTCTTAAGCTGTTATAATGTACTCTTTTGTGTTTTGTGTTAATGGTTACAGAAGTGGAAGAGTGTCATCAGTCAGAAAACACTCCCGGCCTGGAAGCAGGACCCCACCTGCTGGAGCAGTCACAGCAGCCAATCCTCCGGAGCAGCAGTACGTCTGATATGAGGGACTACCTGTGCCCAGATACTCCTCAGGGTGCGTAATGACTTTAATGCCTATTAAATGGCTCTACTTTTCTGGATGAGGGAAAAACAGGTTGCTGTCTATGTTTATTTTAACTGTATTTTACTTCAAGAAAGAAGCTCTGGTGTTGTATTCAGTAGCGTGTTGTGCTGCTAACCAGAAGACCAAGCATCTGGCAGCTGCTCTGTGAAAGAAGGATGCCCAGTCTCCTCGCATTCAGACTTAACAGCCTTGGAAACATGGGGGAGGATCCCTTTGAGTCAGGACTGACTTGATGGTGCTGAGTTGGAATTATTTGCAGGATTTTTGGCAGCACAGTGGTTAAAGCACTTGGCTACTAACAAAAGCAATGTCCATGGTTTGAACGTACCAGCTGCTCCCTGGAAGAAAGCTGAAGAATGTTTCTAGAACATGACAACCTTACGAACCCTGGGGGCAGTTCTACCCTGTCCTATGGGATTGCTGTGGCTTGAAATTGACTGTGGCAATGGGTTTGGGTTTTATTTATTGATTATAGTTTATTTAAGAAGACTGCTCTTTAATTTGATTGCAAGGATTTATTTCTGGCAATGACATATTTTCACAATTTTTATGTATTTTATCTAAACTATAAAGTATTTCCAGGTTTTTTTCCAAGATTGGCACGTTTGAAGAATGAAAAGAAGTCCAAAGGGACTGGAGTAGGAGGGAAACTGAGTGTTAATGAGGAGATGAGTCAGATTCAGTAGAAGGCGGAAGTAGGGTATGGGGAGAGTGATTAAGGGAGTGTAACAGGTTCTTGCAGAATGAGAATGGAGAGCTGACCTGTTTTATGAAAAATATATCAGTAGCCTGCATGCTCTCTGCTGGGTTGGGGGAGGGGGGCTGATTTTAATAGAATTAATTGACAACTTCTTATTCAACTTGCATTTACAAGGTGTGGAAAGCAGAGTAGTAAACTTAACTGTTTACACTTATAAACAGTTGTTTTAATCTGAAAATATATTTAACTTATGTCTTGTATCATGCCAGTACTGTATTTATCCTTTAGTTTTACATTCCTGAGTTAGCTGAGAAAGAAACTAGTTCATTGAAAACTTCTCTTTTATTACTTAATGCCAAAGTTCGTAATCTCATCAAATGAAGGCCTCTTGAAATAAGAAAATACCATTCTATGCCAGGAAATTTGGAGGACAGCTGTCTGCCCAACAAATTGGAAGAGGTCCATATTTGTTCCCATTCCAACTGAATGTGGAAACTATTGAACACTATCATTAATGTCACATGCAAGCAAAATACTTCTGAAGATTGCTAAAAAACAGCTAGAACAGTACATAAATAGGGAACTGCCAGAAGTTCAAGCAGGATTTAGAAAAGGCTCTGACATCAGGGATATCACTGCTGATGTCAAATGGATCCTGCTCAAAGTAAAGAATATCAAAGGAATGTCTATTTGTGCTTTATTGATTATGCAAAGAAGTTTTAACTGTGTGGATCATAACAAGTTGTAGCTGACATTGAGGAAAAATGGGAATCCCAGAGCACTTAATTGTGCTCATGCAGAACCTATACCTAGACCAGGAGACTGTTGTGTGAATAGAACAGGGCAACTCTGCATGGTTTAAAATTAAGGAGTGCGTCAGGGTTGTATTCTTTCCATACTTATTTTATCTGTATACCGAGCAAATTATTTGAGAAGCTGGACTCTATGAAGAGGAGTGTGGCATCAGTACTGGAGGGATACTCATCAATAGCCTGCAGTAGGCAGATGACACAACCTTGCTTGCTGAAAGTGAGGAGGGCTTGAAGCACTTGTTTCAGAAGAACAAGGAATGAAGCCTTCAGTGTGGGTTGCATTTCATTGTCAAGAAAATAAAGATTGTTACCACTAGGCTGATAGGCAATGTCATGATAGATAGAGAGGAGACTGAAACTATCAACACCTTCATCTTGCTTGGATCCACAGTTAACACTCTTGGTACCAACAGTCAGGAAATAAGGAGATGCATTGCAGTGGGAAGTCTGCAGTTAGAGGCCTCTCCAAATTTTTGAGGAGCTATGATGCCAGTTTGAGAACCAAGGTGTGTCTGATTCATACCATAGTCTTTCTGGTCACTTGCTTTGCATCTGGACAATGAATAACGATGACAGAAAAATTGATGTCTTTGAGCTGTGGTGTTGGAGAAGAGCACTGACCTCCTATGGACAGCCAAAAGAACAAACAAATATGCCTTGAAGAGAATGCAGCCAGAGTGCTCTCTAGAGGAGAATGATGAGGCTTCGCCTCATAAACTTTGGACATGTTGCTTGGAAAAGAACATGATTCTGGGAAAGGTGGAGGGTTGGCTAAGGAGAGGAAGGTCCTCGACAAGGTGGATTGACACAGTGACTGCTGCAATAGGCTCTTGTGTGTCAGAGAGTGTGAGGATGGCACAGGATAGAACAGGGTTAAGATCTTTTGTTCACAGGGTCACCATGAGTTGTACTTGACTCAGTGGCACCTAACTACAACAATAACAACAAGAAGCTTAAATTTAATACATAAATTTAACTATTACTTATGTATAACCAGGGAGCATTGGTGGCCTAGTTGATAAGGAATGCTGCCGACTCAGAGGCTGGAGGTTTGAATCCACCAATTGCTCCATGGGAGTAAAGTAGGAAGTCTCCGTTTATGCAGTTTACACTCTCTGAAAAGCCACTTGGAAGATCAGCTATGATTGACTTCTGACTCGATAGTTATGAGTTGTATATAAAAACTGTTTGCCAAACTGTCTCCATGTAAAATATCTTTCTGTTGATTTTCTTCCTCTGAAATATCTAGGTCAAAAGATAGAGAATGTGCAGAATTCGAGTTTTTTAGACCCTAAGCCTGTTCAAGAAAATAAAGAATATATGAAGAAAGAACATGAAGGAATAACGGTAACATATTTTCAAACCATGTTAGTTGTCAAAAATGAATTTACTTGTGACAGTAATACTTTTCCCTTTTAGAATTTTTTTCAGTGTGAAAGGATATAGGCTTCATATGACTTTGAGATCTTTTTTTATCTTTCTTTTTTTCTTGTGTAAATCTGTTACATTGCAAAAAAAGAAAAAGCACCTAAAGTAGAATACACAGCTCTATTTGAGAAATTCCTTCCTTGTGAAATGTACTTTGGGATTTTCTGTTCTTGACATCACCTTAGATCGTAATCTGCAGCAAAGACCTATTGTGGTTTCTTTTCTAAAGACCAAAAATAATTTAGTGTTTTGCTTCGTTTTGTAAATACATTTAATGAAGAAAAGAAAAAACAGCCCATAATCCATCTGCAGAGGTAACCTGTCTTCTTTAAATTAGCTTTTGTTGTTTTTATTGCTTTTTGCCAGCTCAACTTTTTTAAATAAAATTTTCATTTTATACTGGTTTACTTACAAAGTTCCTATACATTGTTTTGTGCACCCAATCTCTCCCACTTCCTTTACCTACCCCTCCGTCTACCCACCAAATTGTGTAATCTTGTGATTACCCCTGCCTCTCCTCAGCCCTTGCGTCCTCATACATGTTTTACTAGTTATTTTTCTATTTCTATGATAATGAACTCATATAATATTTGTCCTTATGAGGCTGAATTACTTCACTTAGCATAATGTTCTCCAGACCCTCCCTAGTTAGATAGTAATTTTTCCAAATCATTTGTCCTGCATGCTGTGTACTATTCCATTGTGTGAATTGTACCATAATTTCTCAGCCTGTTTGATTGTAGTTGGACATTTGGGTTGTTTCCATGTTCTTGTGATGGTGACATTTTTTTTTAATCTGTTCATGTTGTAGCCTGCCTCCCTCCCTCCCTCCCTCCCTCCCTTCCTTCCTTCCTTCCTTCCTCTCTCTCTTTTTTCTCTTTTCCTGATGGTGACCTTTTTAATTTAGCTTTTTTTGTTGCTGTTGTGTATATTTGTTTATTATGATACATAAGAAACTTGGGAGAGGAAACACAAAAATTATTTTGCTTTTATAGTAGGCTATTATTCTAGAACATTCAGCATCACAGGAAGGCACACAATGAGAGGGGAAAGCATCTCTTATATTTACTTGCTGATAAATAACAAGGATTAAGTTTCTTGTTTATTTTTTAAAAAGTTAATGTCCTATTATATGTAAATTTATATTCCATTTGTCACTCCCCAACTCCCGATTCCATCGCTCAACTTAAGATCTAGATTGTTTCTAGTGTCCTTGCTTTGACCTCAGGTGTTCATTCCTTATCTCTTCACTCCTGCTATCTGGTTTTGTGGTCATCATTTCCTGGTTTTTTTTTCTATAGTTTTAATGTATGTGGGTGTGTATATATGAAAATATTTTAATTTTGCTTTTTTTTAACTTTGTATAAGTGATATTTTTGCTTTGTTTACTTATTTTTATTATTCCTTCACATTAAGGCAGAACTGAGAATGAATAGTAGTTCATTAAATTTTCTCTATAATATGATATTCCCTGTCTTTTTCATAGACATTTGCTTTATTACCATTTGTTTTCCTTTTATGAAAAACACAGTTGCACAGATGTAATTTTTATTTTCCCCAAGCTAGATATTTATCTGTGAAAGTGGTAAGTCATAGGTTAGGAGAATATTCTCTATAAGATAATATTAAATGTTTTTCAAAGCAATGATACTGGCTTTTATTTTTGCCAGCAGTGTATAAAACTGTTGTTGTCTTTAAGTTCTATCGAGTTGAGTGCAATTCATAGAGACCTCAGGAACAATGGATCTGAATTATATTCTTCTCTTTCTTGTGACATCCTCATCATTTTTGAGATCCTTAAGTGCTCTGTTAAAAAAAAACTGTTAATTTATCTCACTGAAAGTTTCCCCTCCTTTGCTGTCTCCATCTTTCCAAGCATGGTGATGTCCTTTTCCCTCCTAATAACATGACCAATAAATGTGAGACAAAATTTCACCATCTTTGCCTCCAAGGAGAACCCTGACTACACTTTCTCCAGGACATATAGTTAAATTATATGAGCTCCACAGTCAACACTCTTGGCACCAGCAGCCAGGAAATCAAAAAGCATATCGCGATGGGAAAGTCTGCTGTTAGGGACCTCTCAAAGGTACTCAGGAGCAACAGTGTCTCTCTGGAGACTAAGGTGCGCCTGATACAGGTCATGGTATTTGCAATCGCTTGTTATGCATCAGAGAGTTGGACAATGACTAGGGAGGACAGAAGGAGAGTGGATGCTTTTGAGCTGTGGTGCTGGAGAAGGGTACTGAATGTACCATGGACTGCCAGGAAAACAAACAGATTCATCTTGGAGAGGATTAAACCAAGCCGCTTCTTGGAGGCAAGGATTCTGGGGCTTCGTCTGACATACTTTGGACATGTTGCCAGGAGGGACGGGTCCTTGGAGAGGGACATCATGCTTGGGAGGGTGGAGGGACGGCGCAGGAGGGGAAGACCCTCTATGAGATGGATTGACTCGGTGACTGGGGTAATCGGGATGGGTGTGTCAGAGGCAGTGCGGTTGGCGCAGTATAGAGCAGGGTTTAGGGCTTTTGTGCATAGGGTCGCTATGAGTCGGAAACGACTCGACGGCACATAACAACAACAACTCTTTAAGGCTGTGAGATATATGTGTTTGTGTGTCTGTGTGTGTGTGTATGTGTATATACACACATATACATATATACATACATACATACACACACACACTCAACATCAAGAAAACAAACATTTTCACCACTGGGACTATTGGCAGCATCATTATAGACAGTGAAGACTTTGAAACATTCAGATTGTTATCAGCTTCAGCTTGCTTGGCTCCACAATCAACACTATTGGTATCAGGAAATCAAAAGAAGAATTGCATTAAGCAAGTCTGCTGTCATTGACCTCTCCAGAGCAGTGATGTCAGTCTGGAGATTAAGATGTGTCTCATCCAGGCCATAGTCTTTTGCAATTATTGATATGCATCAGAAGGCAGGACAATGAATAGAGATGAAAGAAAGAAAATTGGTGCCTTTGAGTTGTGATGTTGGAGAAGAGTATTGAATATACCATGAACTGCTGGGAGAATAAACTGGTTTATCTAGGAGAGGGTTAAACCAGAATGCTCTTTGGAGGCAAGGATTCTGCAGTTCCATCTGACATACTTTGGACATGTTGCAAAAAGTCCTTGAAGAGGGACATCATGCTTGAAAGGGTAGAGCTACAGTGCAAGAGTGGAAGACCATAGATGAGATGGATTGACTTAGTGACTAGGGAAATAGGAGTGGATGTGTCGGAGATGATGAAGTTGCCACAAGATAGAGCAGGATTCAGAGCTGTTATACATAGGAACTCTATGAGTCGCAAGCAACTTAACGACACTTAATCACAACATACACACAGTCACACACACTGCAATCTCAAAGGTACATGGCTAGAATCTACCAGGTTCTCTGCAGATGAAGGATGAGCAGTCTCCTCATATGTGATTAAACTGTCTCTGACAATTAAGCCTTCTAGAGGGTTAGCTCTGATTCGGTTCTGACGTGATGCCACACGACAGCATAGGTATATATCTCCTTTTAGTTGGTTCATTTACTTCCATGATTTTTGCTTTTTTTTTACCACCTAGTTTGAAGTCAAGAACCTTGAATCTATTCTACATCTTTTATATTTTCACACATGGCTTCGTACTTTTATCTCACCGCTCCTAAATTTTTGTTCTATGATAGGATATCTCTTTCTGGAACTCTACTAGTAAGGAGTTGTGTTACTAACCCAAAGACACTCAGTTCAGATCCTCCAGTTGCTTATCAGGAGGAATGATCAGCTGTCTCCTTCTGTGTAATTTACAGTCCCTGAAAACTCACTAGAGGGTCAGCTATGAGTCTGTTCAAATTTGACAGCATGTAAAATAACAACAAAGACATAAGATATTCATTTTACATATTTGAAAATCAAAATGTCAGACATTTTTTTCAGATTCCTTTTCCTACCTGCCTAATAACCAGCCAGTCTCTCTCTTATTGCTGTTGTGCTGGTTCCAACTCACAGCTGACCTTCTATTCAGTTTCTAGTGCTGTGAATAACAAAGGAGTAGATTGTCCATCTTTTTCCTGCTGAGCGCTTTTTGGATTCCAACTAGCAGAGATGTGTAATCTTTGAGTTAGTAGCACAACTCCCCACAAACTAGGCCATTAAATTCAAATCTGCATTTGACACTATCATTTTCATGACTCCCAGACTCACTCTTTAGTGAGTTAAATTTTTTTTCTCAGATCATATACAGCAGATTTTAAACTCACCTATTATTCTGCAGGAACTCTACTCTTTTAGTTCTTCTTTCCACCATCAAAATTCTCATTCTTTTTTTTCTTCAAAATTCTCATTCTTGAGTTACCAGTTCCATAGCAGTTTTCTAACACTATCAGAGTCTTTCTAGCTATGTTTTTAAACACAATAAGGTGGGTGTTTTTTTTGGTGTTTTTTGTTTGTTTGAACAATATATGCTGTTCCAGTATTGGATCTAAATTGTTAATCTTACTTAATGGTGAAGGCCAGCTATTGGCTCCTTTATCCAAGAAGGTATCCATTTTCTTATCTTTTTCTCCTTACTTGGATACTCTTGCAGTGTGTAGGAAGCAAAGTTTTTCCATCCTTACCTTTCTGGAGCAACTTGGTTACACTTCTTCCAAGACAGATGGGTTTGTGCTTTTGGCAGTCCACTGGTGTCCTTGCTTTAAAGGATATCTTTAGTTTAAAGACTTTTATGAATCTCATCCCAGCCATGTTATTTTCAGTTACTTTGTATATATCTTAAACATAGACAAAGAATAAGAAAGAACAAAGAAGAATTCCTATATGGTGAAATTTCTAATTACCACCCTAGGTTTCCTACCTTAACCTTTCTTCTTTCTACTACTCTATGTCTTTCTTTTATTTGAATACGTTACCGCTCTTGCCTCTGTCAGTCAATGGTGGTACCTACATATACCTTAGATAGATTATTTGCCATTTTGTTTATTTGTGTTTTAATAATTTTGTTTAATGTCTACTATTTGTCTCTTCAAGTAAGTTGTAAATTCCTAGAGGAAGCAGATTGCCTTATAATATCTTAATAACTTGTGTTTAATGCAAACAGTACTAAGAAAAGCCCTTTACACATCCAACTAGGATAATACTGAGTTAATTTTTAAGTCTAAGTGGATTTTGTACCTTCTCTTTCATCATACTCACCAACAAAGGTTAACTTAGACCTTTTGGAGAATCACAGTAACTATGTATATGTGTAAGAGAGGAATTGGTAGAACTTCAAAATACATTTTATTCCTGTAACTTCCCCCCTTTTTAATATATCAGTTTAATCTGATGTAAGTTGACAAAATAGAGAGTTAAAGTTTCAGATCTTGAGTAGTTTTTAATTCACTAGAAAATTGTAAAACGATGTATGTTTTATTACTGGTGTTTGGTGTTTTTTTTTTGTCAGAAAATGACTGGTCTTAAAAATTAAAAAATTTCCCGTAACAAAGATGGTATTTCTTTTTGTCTGAAGATCTTAATTCGAAGAAGCAGTAGCCCTGCTGAACTGGACTTAAAAGATGTTTTAGAGAAGACAGAAGGAAAATATATGGAAATGCAAAAGAGTAAGTTCCACAAAATATTTTCTCTGTTCCTCAAACTACAGAATTGATGTGATTTGTATTCTTCTTATTCTCTAAAGCAAATAAAAAAACTTACCAGAAGACACATGATTATAAAAAGGAACAGTTCTATGCCTGGAATTCCAGGACTGGTGAAAGGTTAATCCACACCTACAATAAACATGTTTCTGGTCAGTTATTCGTGGAGCTTTAATGGTGTAGTGGTTAAGGAATTCTGCTAATGTAAAGGGCAATGGTTTGAACTCACCACCTGTTGTATGAGCAAGCTTGTCTATTTCTCTTATAGTGTACAATCTTGGAAGTCCTGTCCCATGGGCAGTTGTGCTGTATCCTGCTGGGTCACTGTGAGTCAGGATCAGCTGAGTTTGCTTTACCCAATTACTGTATCTAATACCAGGCAGATAGTTCTATATTTTAACTCCTAGATTTTTCTCTTGGTAAGAGTCGCAGGCTGATGGTTTGGGGATAATCATTCGTCAGCTGTGATGCTTACCTAGAGAAAGGTCTAGGGAGGAAAAATACAGTACTATTCTCATCCCAGTAATAGTGGCAAAGTTTAAGAGGACAGCGAGTAATAAATATTGGAGAGAATGTAGAGAGATAGGAACTCTTATACTCTGTTGGTGAGTTTGTAAAATGGTACAACCACTCTGGAAAGCAGTTTGGCATTTCCTCACAAAACCAAATATATAAATTCCATATCACTCAGCTATTCCATTGCTTGGGCTATGCCTCGAGAAAATGAGAACTGAGGCACGAACGGAGACTTGTACACCAGTGTTCACAGAAGCATTATTCACCCTTGCAAAACCATGGAAACACCCCAGATGTCCAACCACAACTGAATGGATTGAGAAATTATGATACAATACATTAACATGATGGAATACTACACAGCACACAGGAGCAATGATTTTGTAAATTACTTCCTAACTTGGGAGGGACTGGACAGCATTATGCTAAGTGAATTAACTCAGTCCCATAAGGACAAATACTATCTAAGAGCATTATTGTAGAAATAGATAACTATTAAAGCGGGGGTAAGGATCCAAGGCAGAGGAGGGGAGGAAACACAGGGTAAGGACAAGTGGGGTCATAATCATAGGGTTACACAATTTGATGGGGGGAGGGAGGTGGTGGGTGAAGGAATGGGAAAGCTCTGATGTGAAAAACAATGTATATGCCCATTGTAGCCTCCAATATGGATTGAGGCTCATTTTCAAGAAGACAAAGATTCTCACCACTGGGCCGATTGGAAGCATCAGGATGGATGGTGAAGAGATTGAGATTGTTCACAGCTTTAGTTTGCTTGGCTCCACAGTCAACACTCTTGGCACCAGTAGCCAGGAAATTAAAAGGTGCATTGCCATGGGAAAGTCTGCTGTTAGGGACCTCTCCAAAGTACTGAAGAGCAATGGTGTCTCTCTGGAGACTAAGGTGCGTCTGATACAGGTGTTATGCATCAGAGAGTTGGACAGTGACCAAGGAGGACAGAAGGAGAATTGATGCCTTTGAGCTGTGGTTCTGGAGAAGAGTATTGAGAGTACCATGGACTGCTAGGAAAACAACTTAATCCTGGAAAGGGTTAAACCGGGTGGCTCTTTGGAGGCAAGAATTCTGAGGCTCCGTTTAACATACTCTGGACATGTTGTAAGAAGAGACTGGGCCTTGGAGAAGGGCATCATGCTGGGGAGAGTGGAGGGACAGCGCAGGAGGGGAAGGCCCTCTATGAGGTGGATTGATTCGGTGACTGGGGTTATGGGGATGGGAGTGTCAGAGACAGTGCGATTAGCACAAGACAGAGCAGAGTTTAGGGCTGTTGTGCATAGGGTCACTATGAGTCGCAAGAGACTCGACGGTGCATAACAACAACAGCAACAATGCACTTTGTAAGTAAACCAATATAAAATAAAAATTTTTTAAAAATTAAAATACAGTACTATTAGCCTGGCATCAGAAAGAGGTAACTGACTAAACCATTGACCTTTCCAAATTTTAGAAATTAAGAAACTGGTGTATAGAAGTACAGATTTCTGAATTTTAAATATTTTTTCAGTTTTTTAAACATTTACAGTATCTTTTATTCCATAATTATTACATGTTTTTTTAAGAACATTAGAAAATATAGGAAAAAAGAACTAGTCAACCTCTGTAATCACATCTCTTCATTATAAGCTTTATTTAAAATAGAAATATATATGTATTCCTTGTTTTTCCATTGAATTAAATTCTATAAAACTATGTGTGGTAAATTTTAACCCAGCACATATACTAAAATTGGAATGATACATACATTAGCATGGCCCTGCATAAAGATGACACACAAATATGTGAAATTTTCCATATTTTACATACTTGGAAAGGTGGAGGGTCAGTGAAAGAGAGTAAGACCCTCAACAAGATGGGTTGGCACAGTGACTATAATAGTGAGCTCAAACATCATGGCTTTAGACCAGTGTTACTAAGTTCTCAGTCCTGCAAATATTGGCTCTTCCCTCTACCCTCCAAATTGTCCAACAAGCTTGGGCAAAGGCTCTTAGCTTAGCTCTGGTTTTTTTTCTGTGGGGTGGGTAGCAGCCAGCTCTATCTCATGTCAAGTCTCTCTAGTCCTCTGCTTTGACTATGGCTGCTGCTGTTGTAAGTATGTCTGATCCTGAAAGGAGACCTACTTTCTCTTGCTTCTTCTGCTCTTCACTGGTTGGGAAGGTCTTATATGCTGCTGAGTTGGTTCAGACTCAGTGGCACCTAACAACAACAATATTCTCAGCCACTGTTGTTGTTAAGTGCAGTTGAGTCACAGTGTCTGCGAAATTTATCTTTCCATATGGAAGCGCATGCTACAGAAGGTCACGGACTGCAACCTTAAATATGGATTGAAACTCAACATCAAGAAAACAAAGATTCTCAACACTGGACCAATTGGCAGCATCATAATAGATAGTGAAGACATTGAGATTGCTAACACCTTCCGTTTGCTTGGCTCCACAACCAACGTTCTTGGTACCAGCAGCCAAGAAATCAAAAGGTGGATTTGGGAAGTCTTCTGTTAGAGACCTCTCTAACATACTGAAGAGCAATGGTGTCATTCTGGAGACGAAGGTGCACCTCATGCAGGCCATAGTCTTTGCAGTTACTTGCTATGCACCAGAAAGATGGACAATGACTAGGGAGAATTGATGCCTTTGAGCTGTGAGGCTGGAGAAGAGTATTGAATATACCATGGACTGCTAGGAGAACAAATAGGTTTGTCCTAGAGAGGGTGAGACCAGGCTTCTCCTTGGAGGCAAGGATTCTGAAGCTTCGTTTGACATACTTTGGACATATTACAAGGAGGGAAAAGTCCTTGGAGAGGACATCATGCTTAGGAGGATGGAGGGGCAGAACGAGAGAGGAAGACCCTCAATGAAATGGATTTATTCAGTTACTGCAGTAATGGGCATAGGTGTGTCAGAGACAATAAGATTGGCACAGGATAGAGCAGGCCTTATATCTGTTGTACAGAGGTTCACTAGGAGATGCAGGTGACTTGACAGCACATAACATGACTTTCCTAGTCACTGACTTAACTCTGCCTTATGGATGGGTGGGAATATGCAAATTTTATGTGTTAGCTTATCCACAAGTGGTTTGGCTATCTCACCATTCCACAATGGGATTGCCCAGTCTTGCGAATAAATTGAGTGGCTCCAGCAGCTGACTTTTTTTTTCCAGTTTTTAAAAATATTTTTATTGGGTTTTATATAAAGATTCCTTTATATTATGCTTCCTTCATATACTTTGTGTTTTATACAATCTTTCATTTGCATTATATTTCATACATTCATAACATTCTTATTTTATATTATTTTTCTTCATTGGTTTGCTTACAAAGTTTATATACATCTCAATGGTGATTGATTTTATAAAACATAATGCATGAGAATGATTGTATGAATTTTAAAATGTTTTTGGAAAAAAAAAAAGAAATTTTATTAGACTTCTGAGGAACCTTATTATATATTGTGAAATATAGGCATACTACTCTAATTTCAGAAGGAAGATGCTGCCTTCTCTGAATAGCACAGTAAACAGCTCCAGCTTGCAAGTCTAGGATGGTTCTTGATGGTTGCTGAGGCATTGCAGCTTCACCTTCACATCCTGTTGACTTTGAACTTTGTGGAAGGAGTAGCTTTTGAGTCCTATTTGATGCTATGTTTACTGGTCTAACTTGACTTCTTTGCATGTCACTAGAGAAGAGCAGAGGGCATTGCGGTTCAATTCTTCACTTTGGTGTAGGAGACCCAGATTCTATTCCTCGCCGGTTCACTTCATGGGCAGCCCATTTGTCTGTCAGTGGAGACTTACGTGTGGCTGTGATGCCAGACAAATTTCAGTGGAGTTTTCAGACTGCAACAGGCTAGGGTGATATTCTTCTGAAGTAGTCAATCAAAACTATGCATCACCATGGTCTAAACCCATTTTGCAATGCCATGTTCTTGGGAACTTTTTGTTGTGGATCAGAAGTCTCAAACAGGTGCCTTTTAGCCCCTTAAGGCTTGGCAGGTTCTTTCCAAGCCTGTAAACAAGCAATTCCTTCTGCATCAGCTGTTTGAAGACTTATCTATAACCCAGCTTCCATCAAGTCAATTGCAACTCAGGGCAACCCCATGTATATCAGAGTAGAACCCTAAAGTGTAAGTTTTTTCCAGAGGTAGTTTCCTTTCAAAAGAAGACTGCCAGGTCATCTTCTGGGTAGGTAAAATCATTATTTTCCAGTTAATAGTATTATTTTTAACTCTTACTTTCATTAAGCTGTTTAAGTGTTTAGTTCATTACTTATCTGTGAATATGAATGTCAACTTCAGTATTTGTTATTTCAAATTTTTACTTTCTCCATTGCACCAGGTGAACATGTCAACAGTGACGTATCTCTGGGCTGTAACAATGAGTCCGAGCTGTCCACGAGCACCTTGCAGGGCTATGAAGAGGACCAAGAATTGAACACTCACACAGATGTGGTAGATTCTGATGCACACCATTGGTTACAAATGAGTCCCACTTACGTTTCAAATGTAACAGGTAATTTTTTTTTTTTTACTTTAAAGAGAGCTACCAGGAAAAGACTAGGCGGTTACAGAATTTAGTAGTTATAAGAACTTTAACACATTGATAATGATAGTAACTAGCTCCAACAAAATGTATATCAGCAGCCACAAACTCCTGTTGATATTTATCATGAATTTTCTAAATCCTACTGACAGTGATTCTAAAACAGTGGCAAGATAGAGGATGAAGCCTGCCATGTCAGTGGTCATTCAGTGTCCACTGTAGAGAAACAACCAGTACTTATGGTCAAATATTTGCCATCCCTTAATGAATTTGTTCTTCTCTGGATGGAAGAGACAAGTGAACTCTTTAACTTAAGGTATAAATCCTATATACATTAAGGAGTTTTGATACCATAAAATAAGTTGTAATAAATATATAAGGTATGGAACACAGTACAAAAACGAACACCTCCCATCCTAAAAAGTATGACAACATGCAGGGTTCTTGGAGGCTCTTCTTGAGTTCATTTCATCTCCCCTTAATCTGTGATCCTATCCCATATTTTTAGACTAATAATTTGTTGTAATTGATTCTTCCAAAGTGTATAGTTCTTGGAGAAGGATTTAATACTTGTTAAAATAAAGGTTTAAAAATACAGAGGAATATCCTCAAGGAGATAGTTTGAACCAAAACCAACCTGAGAACACCTAAGAAAACAGTCCTTGGAAAGTAGTTGAAGGAGGAGAGGAGGTAAGGCCACTGTGTTAGGCAGCAAGCAGTGCTCCGGCCCATGGTGGCAGCACTGTTATCATCTAGGTCTTAGAGTCAAGGTACTAATTACACCTTTGGGTTTGTTTCTGTTCTCAAATCAGAAAGTAAATTCTCTTCCAAATAGGCCAACTACATTTCTTTACCACTCTACCAAGCTTTCATGTAAAATTGCCATTAGGAAGCTCTGGTGGCTTTATGTTAAGGAGTTGTGTTGCTAACCCAAAGGCACACAGTTCAAACCCGCCAGCTTGTCCTCTGGAAGAATATGAACAATCTCCTCCCATGGTTTATAGCTTCTGAAAAATTTGCTAGAGGGTAAACTATGAATTAGTTCTGAGTTGACAGCACATAGCAACAATAAAACTGCCATCTGGTTATGAATACCCAGTTTACCAGTTCCCTAGAATGGTTTCATGACTAAAATCTTCTACATACTTTTGATATTTTAAACTCTAAATATCTCTATTAAAATAAAGTTTCTGTTTGGTGAACATAATTGGTTTTGTTTCCAAGTTTTTTCACTGTAATAAAAATATTTTCAAATATCTCTTAATTTTGTGTTAGTGAAACATTAAGGTGATAGACTTAACATACTAGCTTGCTAATGAAAAAATAAGGTATGTATTTTTTATTCTGAAACATGAAGTTTCTGAAACCTCTCACTTCATCATTTTTAATTTAGTGTAGCTTCACTGATAAACCATCTATGTTTAAAATGTCAGCAAAGGACACACTGACAAAGGAGATTAATCAGAACTGGCTTTGACAAGCACTGTGGCAATTGGACAATTAAAACAGACATTCGAGGGGGGGAAGAAGAACAAACTGGGGAGGAGGGTAGAGAAAACAGTGCAACAATGAATGAATGAGAACCCAAAATCTCTGTAAATGTTCATTAAAACGAATAAAATTTAATATTAATTAAAAAAAAATGTCAGCATCTGTTCTGGTACGTAGGCCATGAGTAAATACTTTAATGCAAAAACATTTCAGGACATTAAAGGTTTATTTCACAATGATGTGGAAACTTGTGGAGATATTTCATATGCTTCTAGAGGACTCAGCATATCTTAATATTTCAATAGCAATAAAGTGCATAGGTTTTTATCACTGAGGTAAAATTTATCTGAAATCAAAATAGTCTTTAAATAGAACCTTTCCTATCTTAGCATGTCTTCGTAGGTAGGTAGCAAGGAAATGTAGTTAAAGAAGTATGTGCCTACTTTAAATTGTTACCCAGCAAAGCTATGTGTGGTACCCAGATGCCTCATCCACTCATAGAAAGGTTGATGATTCAAATCTACCAGCTACTCCATGGGAGAAAGATATGCCAGTCTGCTTTTGTAAAGTTCTGCTGCCTTTGTAAGTCTGTGGCACAATACTCCCCTGCCCTATGCATTATTAAGAGTTGGAATAGACTTGATAGCACTGGGTTTGAGAGGGTGAGACAAACTTGAACCTGCTGGTCTCTTCATTTATTCCTATTCTATTAAAACCATCACAGCATTCTTAATGAAAAAAAGAAGTGCTATTTTGTGCTGCTTGCTCATTAAGCTTTGGCATACCTTTATAGACTGACAATCACTCACTTGGTACTGTATCCACTTTATAATTTGAACATTATGAAAATTGATTCTTTCTAAAGTTTTGTAAAAGTCTGCTGAAGAAGTCACAAAGCTCACATTTGGGCTTTCTCTAGTTAGTCTTTCAAAAATGTATGTAGGAATTCCATTTTGGGTTATATCTGTGCATTTTAATACATTCCTCAATTGTGATACTTATGTGGGAACTCTAGAGGTGTTTTTCTTCTTAGAAGAACAGTGTCTTATGTGTGTGGAAGGCCTTTCTGTGTGCCATCTTTTTTAAATGCTTTGTTTAGTACTTTGGGAGCTTTTTATGTCACAAGTTTAATAATGATATTGGAAATATACAGAACCATCCTCTGAGTTTGACTTGGCTTCTTGTCAATGTTACTCCTTTTTGTTCTTTATCACTCTTAAAATTAATCTACTTTAGTTCCTTGGATGTATTTAAATTTCTTTGATTAACACAAAACTTCATTTTATAAGCTCTTATTTATACACACACACACACACACCCAAAATGACACTCAAAATAATGGTTGATAATTTCTAGGAATCCATCAGTCATCTTTATTTGTGTGCAGTAAAGAATAGAGCTCTGGTTGGAAATAGCATTGTTAATAACATAGTATAAATAATAGAAAATTGAACTTAATGGTGGATCTGAGACACAATTCGAAGCTTACCCAAGCAAGGATTTAGAAGATAATCTAAACAAGATGATTTTTAAAGAAAGCCTCAAGTAAATTGTTAGAAATCAATTCAAATTAATATTCTTAATAAACAGTCTAGTTAAAATCTTGCCAGATGCTGTTTTCATGATGTACCCCAATAAATAACATTCAGAGAGATCCTAAGTAAATGAACACTTGATAAATAGACTGCTAATTTAGCTCTACATATATCTGCCATGATAAACTTTAAAGCAGAAGTCATCATTAGCTATAGTGATAATTATGAATTTATGTAAGCACCATAACCTTCAGTTACATGAAGCAAATTTGACAGAAGTACAAAGAATTCTTGTTTAACTATAGTTAATAGTTTTAAAAGGAAACTCTGGTGGTTTACTGATAAGGAACTGTGCTGCCACCTCAGAAGACACACCATGTGAATCCACCAGCTGCTCTGAGAGAAAGGTAGGTAATCTCCTATGTAATTTACGGCCTCTGAAAAACTGCCAGATAATCAGCTATGAGTCCACTCCTACGCCATAGCACAAACAACAGCATCAGCGTACTGGATGTCTAAAAACCAATCCAGGTTGCTATCAAGTCAGTTCGAGCTCATCTGTTTCCGATATGCCCTCATGTTTCAGAGCAGAGCTGCACTCCCAAGGATGCTGCACTCAATGGATGTGATCCTTCAGAAGTACATCACCAAAGCACCTCTCGAAATTCACATTACCAATCTTTTTGTTAACAGCCAAGCGCTTAATCATTTATTCTTGTTGTTATGTACATCGTGTCAGAACCGACCCATAGCTGACCCTCTGGCAGGTTTTTAGAGGAAATTGATTGGATGAGAGGAGATTGCCCATCCTTCTCCTGCAGAGTAGCTGGTGACCTTGAACTGTGTGCCTTTGGGATTGCAACTTAGCTTTTTGTCATTAAGCTTCTATTAATTGATAATCAAAGGGGGAAATATTAGTGATGATAGAGGAAACAGTGCAATTAATTTTATTGAATTGATAGATGTTTACACAAGGAGTACCATAATATAGTGTTCTCTATTTTAGGCTTCTGACGAACCTCTGGAAGCAGGAGTAGCATCCACTTCCTAAACAATATGCCTCTAGAAACTATGAGCTTTGATAAGAAAGGCTTCAGGTCTTTTGTTCATAGGGTTGCTATGAGTCATATTTGACTCGATGGCAAACGACAACAGCAACAACCAACCACTGGTTGGAAATGCTGTAGCTGCTCCCCAGGTGGAAGACTGCCAGGCAGTTGCTCCCTAGAAGGAGAACTACCAAGCAGCTGCTCCCTGGGAGGAGGACTGCCAGTCAGGTTCTCCCATTAAGGATAGTAGTCTTGGAAGCCTGGTGGATGGTCACCATGAGTCTGAATTTATCCAGCTGCATAGGTTTTTGTATTTTGGCTTTCATATAAACACACAAATAAATAGATGTATAAAAGACTTTGAACTTAACAATTGTTGTTGTTGTTGTTAGGTGCCATCGAGTCGCCTGCGACTCATAGCGACCCTATGTACAACAGCCCTAAACTCTGCTCTGTCCTGTGCCAATCGCACTGTCTCTGACACTCCCATCC